ATTCGATTCAGATTTGGAGATTCAGCTGCTGAATCGGGCTGAATCTCTTCCAAATCGAATCAGCACCCGAAGCTTCACACAGCCCTACTTTCTGGCATAGTTCATATTTCAGAGGAGGTCCTGGAAGCTGCATTTGTCTCTGTGGTGTTTGGGAAGAACTTGCTTTGTGTTAGGCTGACAGGGCACATACAGATGGGCCAGATCTAGATGTGTGTGCCACAGGGCATCTTGAAAAATGATGCATTTGCCTGCTTGTAGCTATGCTGGCAGGTTCTAGGGATGCTCTGATAATGTGTTCTCTGAACACTTGGGATCAGAATCCAGTCTGGTTTTTGCGAGTGTACAGCATGTGGCAAAATCTTGAGTGTTGTTCTGTTACTGATGTTGTGACTTCTCCGACAAAGGAAGTGTCTTAATTCACAGTTTAAATTTTATCACTGTTCGAAGCAAAAATGTTTCTTTTCTGTTATTTTAAAATATTTAAGCTGGCTTGGCTTTGTTCATAACCATTTGTTGTGGTTTGTTTGTGCTTTTTTCAACTGTTGGTGGGATCTTTGTACTGAGCTATAAGTAACTGAATATTTTATAAGATGTGGTTAATCTTTTAAAATGTTTCTATTTTCAGTAGTAAAACAATAAATGTTGCTGGATAGAATCTTTTGTCTCATTTGCTTTTGGTGTGTTGTGTTAGTAGTGCTTGGCCACTTCATTTTACAGTGGCATACTTTCATTTTTTATGTATCTGTTGTGATGTTTGCACCCCAATGCTATTATAGTGAAGGGTTAAAGTATTGCAGGATGAAAACTGCAAGTTACAAAAGGCAGTTTTGTAGAGGATATTGACCCTTGTGCTTCAGGGCATGAATCAATCATGGAGGTTTGGAAAAGTTTTTTTCCCCTAGGTGCAGGTTATCTGGTACTGGACTCTGTCTGAGATGGAGACTGAACAAATTACACAACTGGTCTGATTTTTTTTTTTTTTTTTTATGGTATATTTTTCTGTTTCCTTCATTTTATTTTTGAATCCAGGTGAATTCTAACAGTAGCTTTGCGGTCATTGTCTCTTCATGTAAATATTTTCCATCAAGTGATTAAAAAAACGTTTCATTACTGATTTTTTTTTTTTTTAATTAGACATAAACGTGTTTTACCAATACAAATCCTTGTACACAAAAGCAGAAAACAAGATACCATCAGGCACACCCATATTAGAGCAGCATTGACATAAATGGATTCTGAGTTAGCATAAGGATAAAACTCCACTATTTTAAATATATCAGTGACTTGTTAAAGGTATTTTCACCAATAGATGAAGGAAAGATAAGATGTCAATTAAGGCCATTAGACATTATTTTCCTACAGGTTGCTGTTGGTTTGAAGCTAGGTTGAGCAAAAGAACCAACAGGGAGCTCTTCATAGGTCTAGAATAATTCATATTTAACCATTAGGAACAGTACAAGCTCTCTCTCTTGGAGAAAATGCCAGTGGGGGGAAAAACAAGGTATTTTAATTGGTTGTTTTTCATGACTGGCCAAGCCATCTGCATATGCCAAGTTTCAGGGAGACCTCAAATTAGGTTCCTGAGTGAAAACCACCAGTTTAAGTGCTCTATTCTTGTCCTTTTTAGATGCTTTTCAAAAGAACCAGGCACCTTGGAGTTGTTCACAATCTGAGAGAAGTCAAGTGCTCAACACTCTTGGATAAGTGTCTGGATTTCTCCTCTCTCAATGCCTAAATAGTACTTCATCCTAACTTAAGACCCCAAATTTCAAAATAGCATGGCCCAAGTGTCTTAGTTTTCAATTAGTGAGTATTTCTGTAATTGGTGTGTAACTTTACCCAGCATGCTCCAGATATTCCTATTAATAATTAAGTTAGGCAGTGACGCTCTAAAATTGAGAAGTGTATTGTGAAAGAGGGGAAAGGGGGATTTATGATAAAACTGGATAAAATTAAAAATACTTTTTTGACAAAATAGGTCTCCTAATGAAAATAAATGCTTAGCATGAAAAGCTTAATTTACAGCAATATAACTTCAATGTACATTAATGTGCACTCTTTTTCTACATATAGTAATTTCGCACAGCTACACTATAAAAGTATACACTATTTAAGTATTTTGTCTTCATGCAGCAAAATAAAAGGATCCTGCATGATATGCTTTGGCAGAATTCTTATTGGGAGTCCAGGGGTATCTTGTCTGAATAATGAGTGTAGCATCAAACCTAAAGGGAATGAATATTCTAGTGTGTCATTTTACCATCCTCATCTTCTAAGACTAATTAGGAAGCAGCACTTGTTATGCAGTGACCTGGGCTTCAAGAAAGGACACACTATAAATGGTCTGATGGGATTATCATTCTAAATACACAAATGATAGAGAGCAGAACACATTTTCTTTTCAAAGACAGACTAGATGCATCATTTGGTATTCCTTGACCTCAGATCACATGCTTTCAAGAAAGTGGTGGTGTTTGCTTTGTGTGCGTGTGGGTTTGGGTATGTGGCCAATTATGTAGCTGGCAGCATTGGTACAAGAATAGCCAGCTAGACTGTTGGGATTCTTTCCATGGAGGGTAGAATTT